TATCATTTTACTTTAATAGTTTCCTCTTTACTGCTATTTTTAATTTACCAAATGATTAATAAATCTTTCTGTCTTTACGTATTTATGAAGTTAATTCAAGTTATTTAAATGTGCGTTTCGTGAATAAGTGTGTTTATGTGTAACTCACTCATTCCCGTTCTCCTTTCCTCCTCCCCTGGTTTTCTCAAGCCGTGACCCCGGCCTCCTCACTTCTAATCGACCATGCCAACTCCTCTGATTCTGTCTTCTCTTCAGTCCATCAGCTGTTGAATCCATCCACTGTAACTTTTTTAGGCAGCCATTGGCCCAGTTACCTCTGCAGCCCCATCATGCCACTGTTGTTGCACTCCTCCTTTACAGTCTCTCTGCTGTTTTTATGGAGGGCGGATTCTGCTCTCATGTCTATTGTGCCAAATCTCGCGGCGCAGTTTGGAACTTCATGTCCTGTTTGAGGGACCGATGAGAGTTTGCCTCTTTGTCAGCATGCTGGTTTGGTTCTGGATGCCATAGTTCTGGCTGCAGTCTTGATGTGGTCTTGTTGTTGTTGTTGGTTCAGCTCTGGTTCTCTGTCTGTACGATGGAGAAGGAGGAGTCTCCTGTTGGGTTAGGTCTTTTTGTCTGCTTGGAGGGTCGGGATCAAAGCCTTTCTAACTCAGAGGGGGAGTCCAGGTCCCGGTACACATTACCTATAAGAAGTCTAGCCCACTGATGTTAAATAAATCCAACCCTTTCCACTCTGTGTCTTTCTAATCATACTATCTGTCTTAGTTGTTAAATGCCATCTAAACAACATAATTAATGTCTACTAATGATATTACAAAAACTCACTCCAAAAATTGTTTCATCCATTGTTACATATTTACCCAACACAACTCTGAAATACTTACATGTTTCCAGCATCACATATTCCACACACTATGAAAGAACATCTCCATATCTTCTCTCATTTTAAATCCCACTGTTACTTCGAACAATAGTAAACCTGCAGAGCACACCAATCGGATCACAGTAATGACATTTGAATCAAGTGTAGGTCTATGTCTTCTTTCTGAACATTTATTTATATTGTCTAAATTCCTTGTCTATGATGTGCAAACAGTTCGAGTGTAAAATGTGTTTTGCACAATGTATTTACACTCTACAGATTCTTGAGTTTACTCATCTCCTGGTGCTGTCGTTGTAAAAAATGTTCAATCCCTTATTGTTTTGTACCAGTTTTCCAAAATCAGTTATAATTAATATACTGGGAACGTGCTTCCCGTCTTCAATACCGGCCAGCAATGTAATGATTAAACTCTAAGCTCGCAGAAGTTTCAAGGGTGTGATACCCCCTTTCAGCCACTAGATGGCAGCAGCAGAAGTTTCAAGGGTGTGATACACCCTTTCAGCCACTAGATGGCAGCAGCAGAAGTTTCAAGGGTGTGATACCCCCTTTCAGCCACTAGATGGCAACAGCAGAAGTTTCAAGGGTGTGATACCCCCTTTCAGCCACTAGATGGCAGCAGCAGAAGTTTACAGACAAAGGGAAACGCTCTCCCTCGATTTAATATATAACAGAGCTCTGGCTTTAAGCTTTCAGCATTGGTCTGTTATTTAAACCCCAGTTTTTAAACGGCGACCCGATCTAATATATCGAGTTTCCAGGTTTTTGTCGTGCAGGAATCAAACCTCGCAACCCACAAAACTGCACCGTCTCCACGCCACTCAGGAATAAACTACCTGCAAATCCGCGTCAAACTGCTTTATTTTACGTCACGCGGGACTTTCGTCTACCTGTCGATCAACGTTTACGTTTTGTATATAACTTTCCTAACATAGTAAAATATGCATTGTATATTCCATTTAAACTATAAAAACACTGTGAAACGCCTACAGACAATCCTAAAGTTTTAGCGTATCCAATTACAGACAGGCGATTTTCATCGTCTGCTTACCTTATTTGCAGAGTTGCAGTCCTGCTGATTGTCTGAGATGTTTGAAAGCGTCTGAATTCTTCCCCAGCTTCGTTATATCTAGACGTCGGGGTCACCATTTGTTGGAGATTTGGAGGGATAACTGGTCCGCTTTTCAAATCTCCGCGCGTTCCTATGAAGCTGGTTATAATACAGGAAGGAATCCATATCTACAAAGTAACCGTTAACAATAATCTACTTTAATGGCAATATGACAATGCAATACAATCATTACAATACAACATGATATATTACAGTTATATTGTAATGCTTAAGGAGTAATGCCGGCTTACTCCTGCCCTGGTTCGCGTGCTGCGGAGATCCTTCCGCTCGAGGCAGCATGTGAAGAGAGACCGAACGCCAGGGATCCACCGGATATATACCAGAGTAAGAAGGAGGGGTTTGGTGTTAGGTCAGCTGGTCATCTTTTTCCGGTCATCTCATTGGGAGACGCAACGCTGGCCAGCAGGAAACCAAACAGGCTCACCTTACAACCAAAAGTCTCAAGGCCTGCATACCTACACCTCCCCCACATCTTCCTTTGTCCTCAAAAACACATGTCAAAAGGCCCCAAATGCAGCTCACAGTTTTACCCAAATTATTCTCATTTTAAGCTTATCCATAGTTTGCTAACATGAATAAATACAAATATAACTCTACAGTGCGCGAGCGAGAGAGAGAGCTTGCGCACCGGTGGGTATCTACCGGAGATCGTTGTGGTTAACATCTGGTGCTAGCTAGCCAAGCTAACGGATATAAGGAGCTTTTTCAACAACAAGGTGGAGGGAGAACTCTCTCCTGTCAGACGGAGAGTCTCAGATAACCTCAGCTCAGGTGAAGTAAAGGACTCTCAGTGTTTAGATAGTTAACTTTAGTCTAGTTATCTCAGTGGGTCTCAAACGGTTTGTTTTAAAATGGGAGTGATTTGTAAAATATCTATAAAGAAATAGAAAATCTGTTTACAGTTCTGTTTCATATGTATGTTGAGAGATACTGTATATCCATAGATCTCTTCATTTTGGCTCTCAAAGTGCACCAGATTGATGCTTTTAACTTCAATATTTAAAAATAAATCTTCCCGGGGGAAGACCCCACTAGAGGAGGTGAGAACCCTCCTAGAGGAGGTGAGGTCCACTCCCCACTTGTACAAATAGCACTTTACCCCTGCTTACACCTATATGCCATGAGCTGATTACAGAGCCTTCATTGTAACAGTCGCGGGCACACTGTGTGTGTGTGGGGAGTGTTGCAGTAGAACATTAAACTGTAGCGCTGGTGCATTAATGGGAAACCCTTAATGTTTGAGCACCCTCTATGAAACGTCAAGCTACCCCACAGCACCCCCTAGAGCAAATCTCTGGCGCCGCCACTGTCTGAAACTACGGGGCGGCCGAGGAAAAAAAATACACATGCGTTAATCGCGTTAAAATAATTAGTGGCGCGTTAACTTGACAGCCCTAATTACATTACATGTTACTTGTTAGACGCTTTTATCCAAAGCGACTTACATACTCGATACTGTGGGCAATCCCCACAGGAGCACTTTGGGGTGAAGTGTCTTGCCCAGGGACACAACGACATGCTGAGAGACTCCAGCGAGACTCCAACTTGCTCTTCCCGTTTTGAAGATCAGCGCACTCTCCCACTGAGCCACAACCTCCTCAAATTAGGGACTAGTTTTATAGCAAAATCCCTTTCTTATGTTTTCCTGTTTTATCTTTAACTGAGCTTTTTTATATTTTATTAATTGCATGTTATTTTAGCAGGATTTGCTCACATTTCATAATCCTGCACTTGGGTGTTGACCATGGCAGGTACACTACCTCCCGCCAACAATCCTACATTTTAGGATCCTTCACATTTTAGAGGTACGAAAATAAACTTTGTGGAACTCTATATCTGTCTGACATTGATTTATAGGGTCTGAAAAAACAAAACTCTCTGGGGTAAACTACTGTGTGTATTTCGGAGGGAGTAGGAATGACTCAGCACACATTCTCCCATCAGTCAGCCACACCTGCTCCAAGCAATCCAATCAAATCTTAATATTAGATTTCAAATCCCATTTGGTTAGTCAACCCCTCACATATTCTATGTAAGTCAATACTGTACATCAAAGTACAGATGCTACATGCCGTTTCTCCTAAAACACTGACTAACAGAATGTATGAAAAATACTATAACTACATTATGGGTGGTTCAATTGGTCAAATGAAGAATGTAAAAAAAAAATGCAAACAATCTGTACATTTAGGATTCCCTAAAATCAATTGTTAACCGACAATAGCCACACTCCTACAGTAAATTCTCACTTGGGGGGAGCACCCATCGCCAAGTGAGGTATTTCCGGATATTCATCTGGACCTTTTAATCACCAACAGGTCAAAGTAACCGCTCGTTTAAATCCTCACGGGGGTGCTGGTGTGGTTCCAGCCTCCATAGTGTTGTGTAAACACTCGTGCTTTCAGGAGGCACATACATCATGTGTTAAGCAACAGAGTAAAAGACAATCAAGTAGGTGGGCAGGAAATCAGGGGGGAACAAGAAGGAGAAGGTAAAAAGAAAGATAGGAAAGCATAAGATGTATAGCGGTGTCACACCAACCCAGACGGTGCTTGGTGTTTTTAGTGGCTGCTGAGTCCTTGACAGAAAAGGTCAATATAGAACAACACAGAGTCAAGAGTGGAGGAAAAGAGATTAGGGAGAGAGGGATTTGGGAAGGAGCAGAGGAGGCAGAGGGGGAGGAGAACAAAAAGAAGCAATGGGGGAATTAATAAAGAATAGAAAAATACAGGTCATTTAAACAGGATGAGGGAGGTACGAGAAGAAAGACACAGAGGTAGAGGAAGGAGAAAAGAGACTAATGAAGAAGTAGAGGAGGGATAGAAGGAAGTGAGTGGGCGGAGGACAGGTGTGATCCTCCACAGCTCGGGTGTTTGTTTCGCCAAGAGTAGTAGCGGTGAAGCAGAGGATTATGGGATTATGGTCGGTGTCGATGTGAGTTGTCATGGCCGACACTGACCCTGCTTACCACCTCCCAGTAAGGAAGCTTAGCCTGGCTGTGAAGGCAAAGTCAGATACACACACACACACACACACCTGCCCACTCATCAGTTCACACCCTCAGCGCCTCTTCTCGCTTTTCTTTTATCTCTTTGTTTGTCTTCTCCTTCTTCCTCTTTCCCCACTGACACTTGTATCTGACTTTTAAATGCTCGTCTATTTCTGTCTCTATATCTCCCTCCATCTCGTTCTTTATCTCTGTCCTCCAGATGTCAGGCTTCTTTTTGCTGCATGTTATACATGCACAGCTTATCCATGCCCGCACAAATCCAGCAGGATTCCTTGGTTTCTCTCTTTGGAAGAGTAACGAGTAAAACAGAAGAAAGAGGAATAAGGGATTGCCTTGTCAGGAGCAGTTACTCAAATAATGTCCAGACGGTGAGGAGTAAATACAGGAACAAGCCCGGCCTCGGTAAGTTTCTCTTGACTTGATATGGCGGTGGAACTTTCGTTATTTGATCAAATGTAATATAAGTAAAGTGATTTAGCCAGTGGTTTACGCAAAAAACATTAGAACAAGCAATATATAAATGACAAATATTGTATAATGAATAAAGTAGAGAAGATAAAATGCCAAATGAAAACATTGAATAGATTCACATCTGAATTAGATACATGATAACACAACAGCACATATCTCCATATTTTGAATCAAATGCAATCACAATGTTGTATTCATGCCATCTGGTCAGGGACGAGCCTCATAATTAATCTGAATTTCCATTTTGTTTCAGGTCATTATTCTGTCTGAATCAATGAATACATATTCAGCCATTCAAAGGTCTGGAACCAGGCAGGAAGTTAACATATACACATACTTGTTAGGGAAACGTTTTCATTTTAAATCAGTGGCCTTAAGATATTGTTGGGTTTAGTAAAAAGTAAAGTGTTTGCAAGTTCTTAAAAGAAGCATTATAGCCTGAACAGAAGGGAATGAACAGCATCAAATAATATAATTGTTATTTGGATGGAGCTGTTCTGTGTTAAGTTAAAGGTTAGGTAAACCTATTTCTCAATGTGTTATGCTTTATCATAACCTTCCCATTTATGCATTATGCTATAATAAATTGCATTGACCTCCATTGAATTTGAGTGGGCACAACTGCAGTTGTTATAAAATCTCTGCATTTTTGTTTATCTATTTAGGGGGCATTGCAAATTATTCAACAGGGACATTTAGCACCATCAATGTTAATGTGCCAGGGTTAGCTCAACAGCTAATTTGCACCAATAGGGTAAAAATAATTAAGACGTCTTTTTCACTTTCTAAACGATAACCCTCAAATGCAAGGCAAGGAGTTTGATCTTACTTAAATAAATACTGTGAAACATTGACATGCAACACTGACTTCATGTCTGTGTTTTTATAGTTACTTTGAGTCACTGTTTGGAAAGGGCAACACAAACAGAAACGATGGCCCTAAAAGCAAAGTCAAATTAATGTCTTAGAAATTAAGAACTAAAAAACTGCTGTCATTAAAAATGCCATTAAAATAGAATTGTTTCTAATAATGGGAAAAGTTTTCATATAAGGGTAACTGATATTGTGGATTTAAAACAAAATATATATTTAAGTTAATCTTAAATCAAGAATGTAACTGTAACTGCATAAGTTTAACGTGTTTTATTCCTCACTCTCACCTCAGTGGTGTCAGTGGATGAACTGATGAACCTTTCTAGATAAAATCATGTGTCATCATTAACCCAGAATTGATCACAACTACATCCACAAAGGTTATCAAACACATCTAAGCTAAACACTTCTGAACCTGCCATCACAGTTGTGAAGGCCAGCTTGACCTATTCTATATGTTTTATACTATAGCATAATAATATATTGTGAAAAAAAGGACCACGGCAGAGAGTTAACAATTGTAAGACATTGTAATTATGTAGAAATAATTTAAGATATCTTATATACACTGTCCATCCATTCATACATTAACAATGCCCTGCTATCGCTTTGGGGCAGGAGCTAACACTAGCTGACATTGGGCGAGATTTCATTTCCTGGAGGCCATGATGATTCACAGTAAATGTCAGATACTTTCTGTGGTTGTATCTGTACCATGCACTGGTCCAATTTGCTGGACAAAGAGAAATTATTACCTGACAGTGATGTGACGAGTGCTCGACTGACATCTCTATCTTTAGACTCCTTGGTGTAAAAATGTCGTCAGTGAGCGAAAATGGCAACAACCTGTGGCTCCTACAATTTACAATTCTTCCAGATGTTTTGATATCCATTTTCTGAGCAAACAGAAGCAACTATCGTCAGTGAGCACACACTGCAAACTCTTCACACACTCCTCAGGAAGACTGCTATATAATATATATTATTAACAATATAAAAGATAAGAGAAGTCTTGAGGATGTGAGGACTGCTTGTCCACCATTAAACGTACTATAACCCCTAAACACTTAAACCAATGTACTATGTTTTGACTCGCGGTAGCATGGTTCTTTTCTGGGCATCAGACTGGAGTGACGCATTCATGGCTCTAATCTCAACCGATTCCACATCCTGATTGGACCCTTCCGTTGCTTTCTCTACAGAACTACAGCAACAGAACAAACTACAATGCAAACATTCAAAAGTAGAATATCAGTTATTTTGCCCCAATAAGGAGAAACTACTTCTTCCCTTCAGGCTTGTTTTTTTAAACAAAACATGACCAAGTGCCCCTTTTTTTCTTAAACGGTTTGAAACTAAAACACAGTTAGGTCTTTTGATAAAACAAAGGTTTCACTTGACACATAACACAAAAGGAGAACCAGTTTGTCTACAATGTAGCCAACCTCCGGTAGTCAATGTTAGAAATAGAAAGCAGCAGCCAAATGCGACCTTAAGCTCGCAGCTTCCGGATTTCAAACAAGATCCTGAGGTCTAAATGTAACCTAATCAGCATGTGTTGCATTGAGTTAAGTTCACCTCAAAAAGAGATTTTCTGAACACTGTTTGATGACAACGAGATCAAATCAGATTGCCAGCAGGTTGAAATAATAGATTAATTTTCCCTGCTATATTGGCACAGCGTGGCGGCTTTCATGGGAGATGAGCAGATAAATGAGCTGTGAGATCAAAATGAACACAATAGAAAATGAAATAATTGCAAATAGAAAATGCTATATAAATATGCTTATTTTGAATCTTGGCTGAAGGACACCGTCAAAATACATGTTACTTATTGATATGTTTAAAGTGTGTTATTAAGAATCTACAGAATGTTTGCGTTTCATAATGCATTATTCAGTGAATTGAATTTTAAAAGTGAACATCTTAGCGAGTGTGTAATATATAAACTGACCGGCTCCATAGTGTATAATGATTATGGTTGAGGGTGTTTGCTGTGAGCTGCGGAGGCGGTGGGCTCGGGATCAGCTCCCTCCAGACAGACGAGTAAACACAGACCAGAGGCTTTGTCTGAACAGATTAGTCAGCTGTTACGTTTACCACTCACCAGTGAGTGAGGGATCACATACAGTATGATGCCATGGAAGTTAATGGAGTAAAACAAATAGCAGTTTCGGAACAGATTATAACTGGCAGGTGATGTTTGTAATATCTTTAAATTATACTCTTTATAAGGTAGGACAAATAAATCATCAAATTCAATAAAAAATCTCTTTATATTTCACAGGTTTGGAATATTCAAACAATTTAAAGAAAAACATTCTGCCCTATTTTTCTTTATGTTTTTTGGCACATTTTTTACGTGATGGAATTAGAAACACTGGGATATTAGCAGTGCATCTGTGAACTCTGACCTTCTAGGTATTAGTGGATTATAATGTTGGTGTTCTCAAAGCTTATTCAAGCATTCTGCGGAAGTCTGTGAGGATAAGAACGTACAAACGTTAAATACTTAAACTGGACCGAGGAGGAACATGTGTCAATCAACTGGATTACTGTAACCTATGACAACATTACACATTTCCAAAAAAGGGTTACTTTAAAATAAAATGCTAATGTATGCATTGAAAGGGTCATCATTTTTCTTTAAATATGTTAAATATTCATGTCTAAGTTTTTGAATCGAATATTAAACATAACTTGTGATTATGTTTCAAATAAAACGTCCCTGCACAACCTCACAGGTGTCCTCACTTTAGCCTGATAGGACCTTCAGGAGCGTGTGGGCGTGTGCAGACAGCACTTTATTGACAAATCTCTTGGTGACATCACAATTTCCAACATAGCACCATATGGTTATAATCAGCTGTGAGGGTGAGCAGAGCCTCTTATGGGGAAAGGTAAAGCTTTATGTGTATTCATTTAAATGTAGTATATTTAATGTTACGAGAATCCCTTGGCATTTTGAGATGCACTTTGTCTGCACCACCAGTCTTAAATCAGTGTTTATTCTCTCTTGTAATTGCTTGTTAGAAGGCATGCCGGTGTGGAGAAAGGCTCCCTTGCTAACAAGTCTGGCCTTTTCTCCAAAATGGGACCGGGTGTAGCTAAAACAAGATAAAGAAGGAAAAATGCTACAGACCATTAAAAGGAAACATACAAGACTCAATTTCAGGTTCATACTTGTTTTTTGGTTTCCTAAAGCTTAAATTCCTTCATTTTTCTCATACTGGTGGTCCGAATGTATCTGTTTTTTACCCTCTGTCTGCTCTGATTGGCTTCAGAACTGCAAAAGTTGTTCTCCAGCCATTGATGGAGATACTCAGATGGGAGCAGTATATTCTATTGCATTTGACATATGAAGGAGAGGAACAATATTTTCTGACTTGAGGCAGCACATAGAAAACTAACTGGATTGACTTGTTTTACAGTTGGTGGGTTGGGAGCCACTCTATTTACCCAAATATAAGTGAAGTAAAAGTGGAGGTTTTTTTCTAACATGTCCCCTTTAACCTGAGAGTTATGGGACTTTTCTGTGGGAAATGCATGGGGGAAAAAGATTCAGAAAGAATGTGTGGAGATAAATAACAAGACACTACCAAACAGGGCACTTAGGATAGCTAAATAGTTGGATTATAATGATAATTTATTCGGCTTTTACAGCCATATAGCCTCAACTCAATTTATCGATCCACCATCATCATCAGACTGACAATTGAGGGAATAAGTTTAAAAATTATAAAAAAGAAGACTTCCAAGTCTTGGAGAATCTAAAGCAGAGATTATCATACTGTGAGACGCACCTTCACAAGCGGGCATGGGGGAGTTGTAATGAAGGTGTGGAGGAAGAAATTGTGTGAACAAAGATATTGAAAGGTTAAAGGGACAGGTGTGGTATTGTTAAAACTACAGGAGGTACGTTATTGCAGTTTGGCCATCTTACCAATGGTGTCAACAGTTGCAGTGGCGGTGACAAATGTTAACAAAGACACAAAACACATATTTATTACATTCAGTGTGACTTTCGCTTGCCAGCAATATCATTATCTCCTTTTCCA